GTCACTAAATATTGATTAATTCATATTGAATTATTTACAATAAAACAAAAATATGCTTAAATTGGGAAATATTTAAAATCAGAAGGGGTTTGTGGAGATTTTAGAAACTCCAGCTCACTTAAGACAATGGTATACGGTGGCGCTACTTTGTGGATTGGTTGAAATTATACATTAACACTGTTGGATGCCGGCTCAGTGGTCTGATGATTAAGCGCTCGCGCGCAAGACTGATAGGTCCTGGGATCGAATCTCACGGAGTGCGGGATCGCGGATGCGCACTGGTGAGGAGTCCCATACTAGGACGAAACGGCCGTCCAGTGCTTCTATGTTTTCCATAATGGTCTAGATTCAATTGACTCATGATTTCAACTAGTGATATATTTAAAACCTAAAAACTACCTATTCGGTATATTCAGTAAACTCAAATAAAAAAGGAAGTTAAAACAATATTCATATTAAGAGCCTAAGGGAACATTGGTTGTTTAACGTATAATCATTTAGCCTACTGATATCATGACAAAACACAACCAAACTAAACGGCATAATTATTGCTTATATTATAACTTAAACAGTAACTCGTTAATACTGATATCTGAAACGTTATTTCTGAATAGAATGTTTTGATAGTTCTAGTAACCAATTCACTATATTTTCTTATCGGTGAGTGTAAATCTTATCTTTAAAGAATATTATAGACAGATAATGGAATACGAATCACTATAAAAGAAATTACGATAGTTCTTAGAGTTATTCACAGAAGTGCATTCAAATATGATGAAAATACATCTGGAATCATACGACACACTAAGTAATTTTGGAGGTTAGTAATAAGTCAAAGAAAATTTTAGTAAAGGTGTTGATTAAAAGTCACGTCACATTCTTTTTAGATAAGAGCATTTTATGCAACTAAACAACAGTTAGGTGTTTACTTATGACTAGTCTGGAAGTTGATTATCAAATGTCATGTTTAATGGAGTCCAAACGTGGTGAAAGTTGTAAATCCTTAACCAATGGTATCAAGGACCGAAGTCTGAAAATACTGATCATTAGATCTCGATCTAATGTAGTGTTGTTAGCCTTCGCTAATGAATCCTACAAAACATGTAAAAAATATTTCAACATTTTCTATTATTCTCAACGTCTTTTCAACTTATATCGATCTTCGGCAAAATGTGTTTTCAGTTCATTTATTGTTACTTAATAGCTTAATTAGATAACACATTTATTAGCAGTATCATCAGTCTTAGAGTTTATATAATTTGTAATCAATGTCAAGAAGTGGTAAATTAAAGTCTATGTCTTGTTGTACCATATTACTAAACTATAGCTCGCACTAATATACTCATTCATCAGGCAAAACACATGTATTCGACTTTCAGTAGCACTCAAAATATAAGTAAGTAGAGAGGGGTTCAAATTTACAAGAGCTAAATTAACGAGACTGTAACATTTTAATTAATGTTTTATGTAGACTCATATTTTTTATCCAGCTATTTATTAACTCTGTTGCTTAGATTCTTTATGTTAATATGTGACTAAAATTATATCCAGTTGCTTATGTTTTTATTTAAAAAATGACTAATCAAGTTTTATGACACAATAAGCTAATAATAGGATTCGGACGGTGATTTACTAATTAACTTTACATCTTCGAACTTAGAGTTTACTATGATAATTGGAACAAATAGCTTGGGAGTAATCTGAAAGATAACAACGTCATGATAAAACAAACAGTTCAACATTCAAAATAGGTTCAAACATATAAAAGTAGAAATTTTAAAAGAGATATTATTCAAGATCGTAAAAAAGGGTCTTACAAAAATTAGGCTCCAAATATACGTAAAACAATAGACGCAAAGTTATATTTGTAACAATCTGATCGATTGAACTTTACGTTTTCAATCGTAAGCTTCGAAGAGTTATCTTTGAAATAAATTAAAATACCTTTTTGTGTAGAAATAAGGAAATCGAAAACAGTTAAGATACAAACTTGATGAAAAAGAGTTTGCGTAATCATAAATAGTCATTAACAAGAGACATAATGGTTAATTATCAGATATGTCAATTGCATACCGAGGGCTACACTAGATAAATGCAAAATTAGTTTGGCAACCAAATTTCAGAAGTACTGTGTTATGAATATTTATGACTTCCATCATGTGTAAACAGATAAAACTCCGACCAGTCCACGAAGTTAGACATTAACGCCGTTGAATGTCGGCTCAGTGGTCTGATAGTTAAGCGCTCACGCGCGAGACTGATAGGTCCTGGGTTCGAATCTCGAGGGGAGCGAAATCGTGGATGCGCACTGGTGAGGAGTCCCATACTAGGACGAAACGGCCGTCCAGTGCTTCCAGGTTTTCCATAGTGGACTAGCTTCAATTGACTCATGATTTCAACTATTAAAGTACATTTGACAGAAAAGTCTTTTTTATTTACTGTTTTACTGACTATTTTTATTTATGAATTAAAATACTAAAGGCGGAATTGAACTTAGGTAAAAGCATAATATATTGATTGAAATGCTTGCACACATACGTATAGTCACACAGACACTGGGAAAAAATCACTAATTTGTTGTTAATTATTGTTTGTTGATTTATTAATCTGTTAAATTGCTAGATCCTACATATGTACATGTCTATGTGTATATAACTTCATTATACAACGATATATATATATATATATATATATATATATATATATATATATATATATTTGTATACTTATAGGTTTGTTATTTATCCCAAAAGTTATAGTTAAATATAATAACTGCAACTGTAACTAGAAGAAATTACAAAATTCGTAACTTCTAATGGAAAGATTAAAAAGTACTATGTATGTGAAAAACGTTCTACTAATAATATTAGGTATATTAAAGTCAATTATGTATCTTGCATCTATTTAATCATTTATATAAGGAGACATAATTCGTCTCTTTATATTCAAATGACAGATAAGGAATAAAATGTTCTAACAGTCTAAGTGTTTTTGATTATGATTTCCAATACTTAACATCACAGTAATCTGTATACTATTATTATAGAGCATGAATAGGTACAATTAAGGTTCACAAATATTTAGTCTAACACAAATCTAAAGCAGAAAACATCTACACAGTTAGAAAATAGGTGTATCAAACAATAAAGTAGGTTACAACATAAAATATATTTACGAGAATTTGTGTTATATTGAATAGAATTTAAGCTTAATAAAATATTCTAAAATTGTTTCATTCATTTATAACTAAACATGTGTTTTTCTGAATTGTAATTCTTTGCATAACCAAGTGTATTAATGATGTAGTAGCTTGATCGATTGACGGATAATTTTGAATTCGGTTAATTAGGTGTTAGGTTTGTTTTTTTTACAAAGCTAGATAAATTGATCTAATGTGTTTGTGAAATAATGATACTAAGTTATTGGACCACTTACAAATGAATAACAATATGTAATGGACTAGTTGTCAGTTGTTTAACACATTTAAGATGTAATTGCATCAAGATTCTAGGAATTATATTTATTGATTTCTAATCTTTCGAAATTAATTATGAAATTTCCAAAAATCATGGTCTGCTAAAACGATTTTCCGTTCTTGTTCTTGAGTCTTTCCATCAATGAAAACCTACAATTTTGAGCCAAAAATAACCCCGGTTTTATGGTGCCATAGAAGTAGGCATTAAATAGTCAATATTTTGGTGAGATCATAATTTATGGACGATTTTTGAGCGACGCTAAAGTGAATTTAAGCATATCCACCTACTGACTAGGGCTAAATGAAGGTTTTAAACCTGTGTGAAGGATAAAGATTGTGATTTACAATTGATGGTTAGGGATAGACACTAGATTTTGGGTTTTCATCACGAACTGACATCAGCTAAAACGTTAAGACTCTATTTAACCAAATGAATAAGGAACTTCATGCTGAAATTCAAGATCTTTTATCGTAGATTTGATTGGTTCGTCCATAAATTATAGTCTCACCGATATTTTTATCACTAACTTCTTAAATAGTTCACTCCAGAATCGTTAAACTCAATCGATTAGGCGGTTTAAATAAAACGTCCGGTAATTCATTTTAAGGATATTCAAGAATTAGGATTGATTGTACACTGCTGACGGGTCATAAACTTTAAGGAAGAAGCTGTTCATTCATTCTTATTTACTTACGCCTCTTAGACTAATGCTTATCATTGTATTTTTAATATGATCAAATGTTATTTAGATAACTATGTCAACCGATTAAACAGATTGTAATTAATATGTTAATCATTATTAACTAGACCGTCAGTATATACTGTAAGATATTTTTTGGTAAAATTCAATTTCATCACATTACATCTCTTGTTGGGATGTGAAAAATTCAAATGAAATGGATGTATAGTTAGCTAATTATTTGTATGACTCAAAATTTGAAATCAGATTATTATTATTATTCTTACAAGAACTTTATAATCAGTGTTGTATCCTAGGTGATCCTGTTAAAAAAACAACGCATTATTGAATTAAGTTGTATAAGTAACGTTTAAATCATACTTTTATGAACAGTTAACTTATTGATGTAATAATGTGTTAAAAATGATTGATATAGAACATTAGAATTATTACTGTTTATTCTTTCATTTATTATGTAAGGACTTGCTGAGAAAAAAAAACATGAAAACTTTCGATAAAAGTTACAAAACAACTTTTTATGTTCTAAATCTGAAGGGATACTAGAGAAAGTATGACAAAACATTCATAGAAATGTTTACGTTGAAACTAGCATTCGTTAAAGTGTAGTCTCGTTCATATGAAAGCTTAGTAAAATACTAATTAATATATGAGGATGTAATGTTAACTATATTACTAGTTCATAGTTGATGTCTATCTATTTTGATTTGTTTAGTTTAGCCGGGATGTTTGTGAGTATAAACCTAAATATACAAGTGTTTTAATACATAAAGACCACTCAATAAATACATGCATAGATAAGATAATATCACAATGCATTAACTTACTTCATAACTGGAACGTCTTACAATATGTTGTTCACTTGGCTTTATTCCCTGGTCATCTGTGTAAAAATTAACTTCAGTACTTCTGTATAACTTATCTTCCTTTTTATTTTGTTCAAGTAGTCGTGAACCACCTGATGTGTATGGACTACCACCGGAACTAGTTACACTAGGCATGCTTATCGAGGAATCATGTGACTCTGTTGATTTTTGATGCACTAATCCTAATAAAACATCATCACTTATATTTGATGTTAATGCTGATGCTGATGTCATTACAGAGGATGTCATCGGAATAAAAAATTTCCCTGTCATTTGAGGACTTTTGATGAGCTCAGATTTAGTATTTAATAGACCTTTCGGTTTAACTCTATTATTAGTAGTGTAGGTTTCACGCGAATGTTTGTCACTTGTATCCTTATTTATATGGTAGTCTGGATTTATGGAATCATATGAAAAAGCCAAAGGCTGTAAAGATTTATTATAGGGAGGAATTAAAGCATTCGGTGAGCCTACACGTGGAGACGTTGATAGTGCACGCATAGTTGTAGTGACTTGTGTTAAATTCTTTTCAAAATGTGGTGAATAATGTGATTCGGATGGTGATACAGGCATTGATGTTCTAGACTCAATTGAGTCGGTCTTATACATTTTTTTATGATTGAATGCGGATCTTGATGATTGAGGACTAGTAGTTAGTGAATTTTGATCATCGAGTGATATTGTTGGGACAGATGGCTTGGAGAATTGTTTACGTGCATTAAATAATCGTGTATTCACACGAGTAGTTGGAATTTCTTCAGTAATTACTGACTTTTGTTCATATTTTATATCATCCAGTTTGTTAACCGGTTGAGGAGTCATTTTGTTTGTTAAACTGCGGATTTGACCACGTATACTATTCGTTCGACCTTGTCTCCTTAATACAGAAGGAGGGGATTTAAGCAAACCAGACTTATCACTTTCCATAGGTCAACCAATTATATTTATACAGCTATGGTTACATAAACACTAAAGTACGATTTTAAGTTGTTACATAATTGAACTTTTTTTGTTTTTTCGTCATTAAATAAGAATGTAAATTTCGAAATTTATATAATCCAAACAAGCATATCTCATTGTAAATCAAAGTACAGAAATAGATTGTTAATAAGTCTCACATGTCCACTGATGATTATAATCCAAGAGAATATACAATCTGATTCTAGTAGAACCAATTATATGATATAATACATAACACTATTGAGTACATTTATAGATATGGTCTTTAAAAAGGTTGTTGTAGTAGTTGATTACTCAATTTCCAATGTCTAATAATTGTTTAACCAAAAAGTCCAAGCTCTCATCAAGGTAACATAACTATTAAAATCACAATTACCTTTTATTAATTAATAATTTTCAATGATGATAATCATTATCAATTCTTTATAACAATATTTACATTTGTGTACTATTATATATAAATGTGTTTTAATGAACTAAAATTGAAAGTATCTAACGATTTATGATCGTTAGATATTCGAAGATCATTGGAAAATTCGGAATTGGTAAAATTTCATTCATGTTGTTCATGATCATTAGTTGAATAAAAACAATTTAACAAGACAGAAAAAGACAAGAAGTTAACTTACTTTTTTTTTCTCATATACTTTAGCACAGACACACATTTTTGTGTTTACCAACAAACAAATATACACACAGTCATAGCATTAAATTAGGACACGTAGACATATATATATATTCTCCAAAAGAAAATACAAACAAGACTTCTGATTGGTATATATGTATATATATATGCGACAAACTTCAGTTACCGTGTCCATAGCTTAATACATAATAGTGATTCAGATAGTGCAAATATATATGTACATGTATGCTAAAATTAATGTGCCTATCGAAATTATATTACTGAAAATATCACTTTATAATTTTAAAAAGGAGAACAATTATTTTTTAGAAATAACAAAGTACATATTCTTGTTCATTTTTGTCAAAACATTTCTATTCACTTTACAAACAAACGACCTAAGAATAATATAATATAGTCACATAGTCCGATTTATGTTCTGGTTTTGCTCATTTCTATTCATGGACTCCAATTTTATAGAATATTAAATTTAATATGCAATACATAATGATTGTCAACTAATTTGACATGTAAAAAAAAGAAAGGGTTTACGATTTTATTGTTGTGTGATTCTGAATATTAGTGAGTCAAAATAGAAAAGAACAAGAAGGAATACTTGCTAGGATGTTCTTTTCATAAAATTTCTTCTCATTGATTTGATTGCTAATGTATGTGTCTGACTACTCAAAATGTCAATGTACTTTAACTAATAAAATAGCTCTACTGAAGTTTGGTAATATTTGTTCATAAGTGATTTTGTTTAAGAAAGAAAGCATCATAAAACACATGTTAGTGTAATTGAATTCAAAGGATTCTCTTGTTATAGTGTCATATATCATTTAACTGATTTTACTTTCATTTTCTGAATTTCAAGAATCTATCAGCTTCAAAATGGTAATAAAAATGTTGACAGTTAGAAGTACAGCGGTGCTTTATTGATATCTCAAATACATAAACTGAGATAGAGACAGTAATGATTAATTTCGTTTACAAACTAGTTAGAGGTAAGCAATTTTAACGATATATTCCTGAAATCTTATTGCATTTGGTTCATCATTCACTTTATCAAAATGTGACTCTTAAACCTTAGATTTTAATTTAATTTCCAAACTCATAGTTTTAATAATACAATTAAAACAATGTGTTTATTCACAACTGGTTAGTCATATTTCCCTTATGTAGTCCCATGATCTTACTATTTGTTTGCTTTATGTTCATTGAACTGATAAAACATTTACAATTTTAGTGAAGTTACATAGTGTATTACATTTGTTTTTAACCTTAATAGGTTTACTTCATAGGGAAACATCGTTGTGTTTTTTTTCATAAAGCCTTGATTCTTTGTTCGAATATAAGTTTTTTTTTAGATTATTATCTCTCTCCAGATAATCTACAGTTGGGTTTGGAAAATTCATATTTATTACTTCCTTCAAAGATTCTTTATGTAACTCCCATATAACCGATTTCTACATCTAAAAAATTGTTAGGTGACTTATGAATATTTCCAAGTTTATGCAACATATATTTTTTATATAGAAACTCAACAATGATTTCCTTATAGAAGTCTATCTGTTAGATTATTTTCTTCAGTCAATGATTCCAATTATAATGTTCTTGCTAAGTTAATATAAGGATGTATTTATTAATGGAACTCATAGCTTTTCAAATGATTTATGAACATTGCTTTGCTTGTAATAGTTATTGAGTCTAAAATCACAACCACATATGAAGTTACAAATTTATTGGTGGATCAGAATAAATTTATCTTATCTAAATGAAATAGACATAAACAGTTTGTACGTAAGAATACAATTCCTAGCTTCCGACTATTTCATGAGGATTAAAGTGCATTGAAAATGGAGTGAAATATTTCTATATGTGCTATTTACCCTCACAAATTTAAACTAAGATTCATAGTTCCTGAAATTTGATAAATTTATGTTACTGTTTTTTAATATTCCTAGGCTATATTTTTCTCTTGAAGGAAGTCAATATCATCTGACAGATAATTTATTTATAGTTGCAACGTAAGGTAATCTTCATTGCAATTTAGGATTAACTCAGGATTTCGGATAAATTTGAAAACACACATGAATTAGGCTTAATTTAGAAAATAGGTCGTCCTTGCTTTATAACAACACCAACTAGTTAATAAAAGATAATCTTCAGTAATTAGAACATTAGTGAACTAAACAAAACTATAAACAATTGAATTCGAGTCTGATGATTTCAAATTCAACTTCTATCAATTCTCAATATACAGCTTTAGTCAGTTTTCTCTACTTGATATCATCGTGATTGAACCTTGTTAACCACAGCTTCACACTCGAGAATTAAGTCTCGAACTGACTTGTGAGTACATAATTGTAGTTAGATTGATGGGGTTGTGTAGTATATTTTAGTTTACCCTTGTTGTTCGTCGCAGATTGACCTCAGTTGGAGTGTAAACGAAAACCTTGGGATATTAGTAGGGAGCTTTTATCTAGAATGATACCACACGAAAAGTTCATTTGTATTGAATAATACCCATAAATTAAGCTAATATCCACAGAAACCCTCAAATACATTCAATAAGCTTTGATAAATTTAGATTCTGCACAGGTTTCAACAGTGCTAGTGGCATATCAGTACTTTTTTCTCTGACACTTAGGATATCAGTCAGTCAGTCAGTAACAACGTAGAACTTCGTACATACGTGCATCAGTTCGAGTTGCCACACTACATTAGCACAGAGATGCAGTTGTCGATTCAAATCCCGTAGTGGTAGAGGTAGTAAGAGTATAAGCAGTAATCGGGAAGATTAGGGTTTGGAGATGTTATTCAAAGAGTATAATCCAGTGAAATAAATTTGGAAAGAGGAAAAAAGGGACATGAAGAATTCAGAAGATTAGAATTTGGGAGAACACAGAAAGTGGATACACCTGCGCCATTTGCAAACGATTTTGAGCCATGTCATTCAGGGTCTCTAATCATCGGTTGCTGTCATCTCGCGGTCCCCAACCAGGTAGTCTACACCTACCAACATGACTCAGTTCACTTGTCACTGACTTCATGGACTTGTGCCATGTTTTGGTTTGGCCGCCCATAGCTTTCTTCCAACCTACTCCTATACCACTGAACATAGCACGTCGAGGCAGTCGGTCGTTGGGCATACGTAACACGTGTCCAAGCCATCTCAACTGATGAAGTTTAACTACTTCATCAACTGATTTGCCATCCTTACCTAGTATCCGTTTCCTAACAACTGCGTTACTTACTCGATGGTCCCATGATATACGAGCAATGTTTCGAAGACACCTATGATCGAATACTAGTAACCTACGGATATCCTCTACTCTTACCGGCCATGTTTCACTGCCATAAAGTAGGACGGAACGAACTGCTATGCAGTAAACACGTCCTTTGGTTGATAGACGGATATCTCGCCTACGCCATAAATGACGCAAGTTGGCAAAAGCTAGTCGAGCCTTCTGTATCCGTGCTGAGATTTCGTCACACACCAAACCACAAGGGCTGATGAGACTTCCAAGATAAGTGAAGCGGTCGACACACTCAACTACTTCACTCCCTATCACTAGTTCGGGTGTCGATGTAACCCAATCCTGAAGCAACATTTTGCATTTCGAGGGAGAGAATCGCATCCCGAACATGCTTGCATTGTTGCTTAGAGTGGTCAGAAGACTCTGCATTTTGTCAGCGTCTTCACCAAATAAAACTATGTCATCTGCATATTCTAAGTCAACAAGTGAACCTCCTGGTAGAAGTTCAACCCCTGTAAATTTAGATGAGGAGAGTGTTATCTCTAAAAGTACGTCAATGACAAAGTTGAACAAGAATGGGGAGAGTGGACAGCCCTGACGAACACCACTTGAGGTGTTCAATTCTGATGACAGTTCGCCATAAGCTCTCACTCTACCAGTTGTGTTCGAGTAGAGAGCCTTTATAGGGTTAATGTACTTCTTTGGTACTCCTTTCAGTGACAAACACTGCCATAGAACCTCACGATCAACGGAGTCGAATGCCGCCTTAAGGTCGAGAAATACTACCATTGTGGGGCGTCTGAATGTGTGTCTGTGTTCTAGAACCTGGCGTAGTGTGAATATCTGATCTATACAACCACGTCCAGGTCGAAAACCGGCCTGGTTTTCTCTAATCTGTTCTTCACGAGCTTTGATTAGGCGTCGAAGTATTACTGAAGCTAATATTTTAGACACTATATTAATCAAACTGATTCCTCTGTGATTGTCACAAGAGGACTTTTGTCCTTTCTTATAGACTGGCACAATCAGTGATTGAGACCAGTCAGATGGGATTACGTCCAGTTCCCGAATTCTAGCTAAGA